ATTGACCAGTCCAAATGAACACCAGATGATTGCCTCGGAGGCCTTAGAGGGGGCCAACAAGGAGAAAGCCAAACTCAGGATGCTTACCGAGGCCCCAAATGAAGTGATTGAATCTCTTATGGCTGAAGTAAAGTCTGTAGGCGAAGTGGCGGTCCAGAACTACATCGATAACTTCAATCAAACGAAGGAATATCTCAACTATAAAAAATGCTGTCCCTGAATGTCATTTATGAAGCGGACAACGAACATAGCAAAATCAATTCCAAGTCTTTTCATCATGCTTGACCTCTATAATCTCCAAATTAGTGAGGATTTCCTTGAATGTATCTAGATGATCCTTTAAAGATCCACCTTCTACCATGCGATGAGAATATAAGCACTACTTTAGATGCAATTTTCTTGTTAGAGTTCCAGTCATGCTTATCTGATCTAATTTCAACCATAATCCAGCGACAATTTTCTTCATGTCCCGAAAAATTTGATTTGAAAGATAAAGATGTATCTGTGATAAGGCCTTCCGATCCTTGCTTTATTTTCACTATATTTATCGACTTATTGTGCAATTCAACTATGTACACTGCTTTCTATGATTTACAAATAAAGAGTACCAATCCTTATATAATATTGAGTTTTACGGAACTTCAACATGACCCACACTATTGAGCTTTACAAGATTTCAATATAATCCACAAGTATAACAAAATAATTTGACAATGAACTCCTCACTTGATAAAATGATAATAGCGAATTAAGTACTAAGAGAGGCTAATACTTCAATAAATAAATGATAGCTCAATTGTTAGATAAAAATTTTGATGAATATGATAATTAAAAGTTTGATTCAATAGTCAAAACTTTTTCAATGACAAGATGAAGAAATAATAAGTGGAATATAAGTTCAAAACTCTTTTCAAAATATATCTCTCTTTTAATGAATAAGGGTAATAAAATAAGTACCAAAAGAGAAATGTGAAACTTTGATGAATATTATCATTTTACAAGTTTGATTCAATTAATCAAAGTTTTGATATAGAGAAGTAGAAGAAATAGATGAAATGTAAGTTCAAAACTTTTCTTCAAAATATCTCTCTTTTATGAATGATAAAAATAAGTTAAATACAAAAGGAGAGAGAAAAACTTTGATAAAGATGATGAAAAGATCATATGAACAAATAAATGAAATGAGTGCAATGTAACCTCAAAAAATTCTCTCAAAATATATCTCACTTAATGCTTTGAAAAAATTTTAAAGAATTGAATGAGTGAGGGTATTTATAGAGCCCAAAAAGCAAAAAACTCAATCAAACTAGACAACCAACAGGACATTTGCCTTGGATCCGGATGACCAAAATAGCCGTTATACATTTGAAATCATAGCGGTAAAAATTTTGATTGTTGCATCAACCGAATGTTCGCCAAAGCTCTCTGAGATTTTGGACAATCAATTAGAACGTCCACCACCTCTGTCCGGATGTCCGTCCCCTTCGATCGAGCATCTGACCGGTTGCGGCTGTTTCGATCAGTTATCCATTTCGACCCCATTTGATCCAATTTGAATGTTTTGACAAATGTAAACTTTTGGAAGGTGTTTTTAACTAATTTTCGGCTGCTTCGGTCAGTTTTCCATTTCGACCCCGTTTGATCCAATTTGAATGTTTTGACAAATGTAAACTTTTGGAAGGTGTTTTTGACTAATTTTCAAGGTAAACGATGTTTTTTTAAAAAGAAAAAAATTAATCCAAGTTCAAACATCATTTTGAAAATTAATTTTCTTTTTGATCAAAATATATTATGTAAGTGATAATTAAAATTAGTTTTTAGTTCACAAAATGATTTTTGAGATTTTATCATCCATTGCTAAAGATTAAGGTGTTAGTACATTTACATTTGATACAAGAAAGCCTAGCATTTGACGTTTATTTGAAACTTGGCTCTTAGGCTCTCATCTTGATCTTTCTTTAACATTTGGCTTTTAACGACTTGATTTTGATCTTTATTTGATGTTTGTCTTTTAGACTCTTGTCTTGAATGCTTGGATGACTTGATAACTTTGATCTTAACAGTCTAATTTGATAGTCTTGATATTGATTTTTTTTGAGGATGATCGATTAATTTATCACTGAATGCTTTGAAGACTATAATCACTCAAGTTCAATTGTTAGAAAATAAGATTGATTTATTTGTTAAAATCAAAACTTTAAAGTTACAATCAACCATTGGTCAACACATCCAAATCTAATTAGGTGTGCACTGCTCGCATCTTGATCTACCACAAAAAAATCTAGTGTTGCGATCTAAAAGCGAAATTTCAAACTACATACGTTCCATCTCGAAACAATCAAATATTATTGATCAAACCTTACTTTAATTCAAAAACAAATAAGTTCTCCAAGAATTGCCAAACCTAGGCTCTGATACCACCTGTTATAAACTCCCGACAATTTGCAATAATCTAGTGATAGAACTTATACATCTTGTTATGAATATTAAAGTTAAGAAAATAGGACAAGATGAAAAGAATAACATAAGAACACAAGATTTAACGTGGAAACCCAAATTTGGGAAAAAAATTACGTGTAGACGAATAATTCACTATAATCAATATCAAAAAAGTACAAGAGGATCTCGCAAGACTCTTTACGTATATTAAAATATGCAAATCTCTCTATATAATCTAGATCATCTCACCGTGATGTTCTCTCAATACTATACAATGTTTTGATATACTCTCATAAAGTTATGAAGATGATACATCACATGGAGTATATATAGGAACTCATTACAAACGTTTTGGATGAAATCCAATACAAGAAACGAATCGGAATCGAAAAAAAGATTCCTGCTCGGATAACATTGGGGTTCAAGTGTCAAGTGAATGGTAACGAGCATTGCGACTATAGCGTTGGGGTGCCGTTTCTCGAGGAAAAATTCACCATTTCTCTCATAATGGGTGCTTAGGCACCTCAAACCTTGCTCTTGGGGTGCTAATTTGCTTTTCAAAATTCCAAAACCAAATCTTCAATTATCCAAATTTCTTTTACAAGTCAAATTTCGATCCTTGATGAACTTTGATACCCTTTTTAACCGACCTTCCAAACTAAGAAAATTCTTGTTCGTTTTATCAATTAACCAACACAATCCTAATCCCAATAGGACTTTGGGCCATACTCCAACAAATTCAATCATGATTTGCACTCTAGCGTGTACGCAAACAAGAGAGAGCATCTATACTATAGAAGCTTAAACCCCCTCCCCTACACACACACACGTGTGGTGGTGGCAAACGGGCCGAGCAGCTCGTGGGCTCGTGGTCGGCTCGGGTTTGTCATTTGATGAGCCCGAGCAGGAATCGAGTAGGCGGCCCGCTATGCGAGCTGAGCCCGCTCGTGGGCTCGTCCAAAATTGAAGGTTTATCTTAAGAAAAGAAAAAAGAATGACGAGCTCACGAGTTGAGCAGAAGCTCGGTTTGGCCCATTGCCACCTCTTCACAAGTGTGTTCGTCTTGTTTTTTTTTCTATGTGGAACAAGATTCTTTAGCTTTCCCTTCAACATTTTCTAACTCCGATGGTGCACTTCGAATTTCAATTTCTCATTCATCCAAATACTAATTTGAACATGTGAATATACAAGCATTTAGCAAACTCCGCAAAACCGATTTGATGTTCTCGCGAAGTAGAAGACAAATCTATTTTAATCTTCTAAAATTAAAAAGTGAACATCATCCAAAAATATGCCAAAATGTAACGATTTCCAAATATTATTTAGCCTCTGTTTGGTGAGCATTAAAAGCAGATTTTTAGTAAATTTTGATAGACGTTGATGAAATATGTAGTTGAAAAGTTGTGAGATCTACAAAATATGTGGTTGAGATTAATTGTTAACTTTGACTTAGATTATAATTTATATTTTAATTACTTCCAAATAGGGGCTTAATCTTGTCTAATATTAATAAGCGAGACCAAATTGGAGAAATAACAAAAGCAAAAAGATTCATGAAGTAGAGAGCCAGCCACGACCGTGTTGGAGTCAAAACAAGCTAGCGAGCCCTTCGCCTACTGCTGCGCTGTCGTCACCATAGCCCATGCAATTCCAATTTACAAGACTATTCTTAACCCTTTAATTTATATATACTTGTCTTCTATCTAATTTCTTGGTACATTAAATCATCAATTATTATTTTTTCAGCTATCTTTTTCATCCCCATAAAAATTATTAAATAGAATCCAATGCTCTCCCACGTACTAAGAACACAGTAATCTCAATTATATGTAATTAAACAGTGAGAAAATGAACCAAAACAAGTAAGGCATTCTCTTTTGCATTCACAAGTAAACATCCCATCATTTTAATTTCTCTCGTACTATTTTTCACCCTAAACCTAGAGGGTATCTATATTTGGAAAAAAAAAAAATCTAGTCTAGTTGCACTATTTGTTCACACAAGTTAGGCAGATACTACTCTCTACGTACGGTCATTGCTTCTTCTCAACAAGAAGTTCACGACCTGTGATTCTTGGATTGGATATTGGTAGCTAGCACTTTAACATATATTGATTTCACTTGGATTTTATATCAATGACATATTTGATACGCTCCACTAAACACTCAAACGTTGAATCACACGGTGACATTTGTTAGGAGACTTTTTAAGTGAAATTTTTGAATTTGTACAGATAATTTAATTGCAGCTTTGAAGGTTGAAATTGATAGGTCTCTAGGTTAGGGTGGTTTCAGACCAACCCCCGACATCTGTGCCATCTTCTCCTATATATACACTACTTAAAGAACAAACACGCATTCACAAAACTACTAGAATTAGGTTTACGCACGTGCGCAACCCCCCACACCACTCCCACCCCACCAAAAAAAAAACACCACCCACAGTCCCTCAAGACCTAAATCCTCCTTTCATTCAGTTCTCTTTCTGATTTGCTTTTTAATAAGTTTAACAAAATCTATTGATTCTGTAAAGGGAAGTTTGATCGAGAACATCTAAAAACAATGAGCAATTTCGATTCACAAAGGCAAGAATCACTGAAAAGGAGGTGGCAGGAGCAAGTAATCAACCACTCAACCCCATCAAATTTCTACAACAAAGCTCCATCGACAGAGCCCTTAATGGGAAACCATAAAAATCTCCAAACTTCTTCGGGGTTTTTAGATGATAATCTTGTTTCTTCGGTGGTGCCGCCAGTGACGGTGGTGCTGGAAGGCCGTTCAATCTGCCAGCGTATCAGTCTTCACAAACATGGAAGCTACAAAAGCCTCGCAAAGGCTTTGAGACAAATGTATGTTGATGAGGATGCATCGTCGTCGTCTGATAATGATGTTGATCTTGACCTTTCAAATGCTATTCCTGGTCATCTCATTGCATATGAAGACATGGAAAATGATCTTCTTCTTGTTGGTGACCTAAACTGGAAGTAAGAAAGTCACTTATTTTTTCTAGTACTTTTTTGCTATTTTTGTGTGAGATTACAGAAAGCAAAATCTTGAAATTATTTTCAAGATCTAATAATTATTTGTCTGCTTCTTTCAATCTGCAGGGATTTTGTTAGAGTGGCAAAAAGAATTCGAATATTACCGGCAAAGGTTAGATCCAGAAAACAGAAAAAGGAGGAGATGAGTTAAATTACGTTGCTCCTTGTAACCTTGTTCATCAGTTACATGAATCTTGCAAAAACAATGGACATCCTTTCTGAAATATTGAAAGGTCGTTGAACTAATTGTGCATGAAAAATTTTCATTAAAAAAAAACACTTTTGAATTATGGAATCACAGGAAATTATAAGTTGTATTCTGTGAATCCTATATTTTCCAATTATATGGAGTAAAAAAAATTCCTTTATACTCACAGTCTTTGATTAAATCATATTGTTTGACGCGATTTACTTTTAGTCTTGCCTAAAATTCATTAGCTTATTTGCATAAGGTTGGAGAAAAGGGGGTGGACCATACATTTAGCTTTTTGATTATTTGAAAATTATTTCTTTGTCACACTAACTATAGCAGACTTTGCTCAAATTTTTCATTTATACCACCAACGATACCAACCTTTCAAAACAGGGACGGATCAAGACCGGATTACATGCCGGGCTAATACGTAAAAAAAANTAAAAAGCTGTTTGATAGGTAAATTTTTCCATGGAAAACGTTTTCCACATTTTCTAGGTACAATCATTTGATGCACAAAAACTTGATTTTGTTTTCTCACCTATTAGGTGGGAAAACATTTTCCACCTTTTTTTTAAAACAATGGCAACCAATTCTATCAACTATTGTAAAAAGAATTTTCATTTTTGTTGACAATTTTTATGTAAAACAAAGTTAAACGAATATGGTAATTTTTTCTAATTGTTTAAATTTTTTATTTTTTTTTACTTTTTGGCAATTAGAACAAATTCTAGACGTATTGGTAGAAAAATTATCACTTTAATGGACAATTTTTATAAAAAAAGAAGTCAAACGGATATCAAACTTTCAACATTTTTCAGGTAGAAAATTATACCAATCAAACACAATTAATTACAATTCTCAGGAAAACATTTTCTAAGAAAATCTTTTCTCAATAAAACATTTTCTTTCCACCCATTTTCTACCCTTACAATCAAACGGACCCTAAAATCAAATAGTTAAAATCAAAAATCAAAAACCAATTTCTTCTTCTTCATCCACCTCACACATACCCACCCCCACCCAAAACCACCACCAACACTGCCATCTCCTCCACCTCTACAGTCAAATGGAACCTGAAACCTGGAGGCAATCTGACTGGGGCCATACCTTTTCCTGTTACACCCTACCAGATCACTCACAAAATCACCTTTTTCTCAATTCAAATTTCAACCAATTTGGGCTTTCTTTCTGAGTTTTTGGTAGGCAGCATCGATGAGTTTGCTTTTTGGATTTTCATTGGCGAGTCACACATTTTGGGGTTTTAAGGGTTTCGATTCCCGTGTGCAAAAACCAAAAATTCAAAAGCAATTGACCCAAAAATAGGTCAAATCACTACAAACTCATTACACTTAAACAGTAAAAAAATGCAAATCACACCCCAAATTTGTTAGTGGATGTTGTAATCTGGTTGCTTTTGCTTCTCTCTAGAGTGTCCATCACCACCATGACCCCTTTCGTCTTTTCAGTCTCCTTCACTTTCTATACTTCCTCCTCCAACTCTACAAAGTATATCTATATCTATAACAATGTATAATTTTTCACTTTTGAATCAACCTGTTTCTTTGACATAACAAACCTTCAAACTTTGCCCCTCGGCATGGAGAAGAAGAAAGGTCACAAGATAAATGAAATTCAAGGAGCGGGAAAAGAAATGAATTTTCTTGTGCTGACTAACAATCCTAATAAACTGCCCCACCATTCACCAAACACAGCCGTTGATGGGAATGAAGGTGGTGAAGGAGATGACAGTGGTCGTAATGGTTTTGGGGTAGGTATGTGTGGGGTGGATGGAGAAGAAGTAGATTTTTTATTTTAGTTATTTTATTATAAAAAAAATATAAAGTTATCATATTAACTTTTTAAAATTAGTCAAAATTATTGTCAAGGTCAATTATTTGTTCAATTAACGGTCAAACTAACAGAAACCATTTATTTGGATTTGAATTGCGACATTTTGAAATGTTTGGTACCGTGGGTGACACAAATGAAATGTTTGATATCGTGGATGACACAAAATGAAATGTTTGGGCAAAATCTGCTACTAAACGAAATGTTTGATATCACTGCTACAATTATTCCTTTATTCAATGTGGAATGTGTCCATTTCTGCCATTTCATAGGTAAGATTTTGAACATTTTTCACACAACATCATTCATCTTTCTTTAGCAAAAAATTAGGAGAGAATTTTAACATCCAATAAACAGCAATGGTTTGTTTAGCATGTCCACAAGACTCGACCAACTGTCACATGACCTCACAGTTGATAAATTGTAACATACCTTCCTTATATAATAATATAAACCAAACATGCTTCATAAAAAATAGTCATCAAGCTCAATCCTATCATTCTCATATCGATAGACGACTGAAGAGAGAAAGTCAGTACATATTTAATTACAATTTTTCTCATTTCGAGGACTTATAAATAATTATTCATACCTAATCGATCTTTCTGTCAAATGAGGTGTTGTAAAATAAACAAGATACTAGAATAGCTCTAATACTAATTGTTGTGAAACAAATCATCAGATTGAGATGTTGAAATTATATGTCAAATAATAATGAAGTATATGATCAAGAAAAAAAATAAAGACAAGAATATGACGGATGAATTATGAGATTTTATTGACTCACGAATAATGGAGAAGAGAGAAAAATTATAATAGATCCTATAATTCTAGTAATTTATTTTCTCACACCATTAAAATTGTATAGAAAAGCCTAGTATTTATAGGGAACAGAGGATACCAAAAAATCTAGTCTAAAACAAATTACAACTCTCAATGGGTTTCCAAAATAAAACTTCAACTTGACATAGGACTCAAATAGCTGTCCAAACTGAATTTTTTCTTAATGTGCACTTCAATTAATTCAAGAAAGAATTCGAGACGCACCTAAATTCTAACAATCTCCACCTTAACACAAATTCTACCAAGGAATGAACATGCTTCTTCAACAATAACCAAAAAATTAACTTCTCCAACAAAACACAAAACTCCACATCTTCCAATGAATCGAAGCACTACTCTGTAGAATTACCTCAAATTCTCAAAAAATCATAATGATTTTAAATTAATCAAAATGAGCTGTAACACACTCCAAAGCAAAATTAAACCCAAATGCTTTTAAAGAATGCCCTTGCTAGATTGTACATCTTCTACTCCACTTAAAACATGCTCAACAAAATAGCATCCACATACCTTTTTTCCATTAGGTTCGTCCCTAACAATTGAATACAATGGTACCGCATGTGATGATGGCAAATCAGCATTATCCATATTTCGTGAACTCCACTGAACTGTATTATTCAAATCCGACCATTTACGAGCTCCTAAAATTATTGTACTAAAATGAATGTCCACCATAGTCTTGAACTTGTGCTGATTGACTCTTATAAATTCTGCATGACCCTGCAAGATGTAGAAACAAGTTAGAGTATTTGTACTTTAGTCCATGAACTTTTGTTTTCCTCCATTTTGGTCATTTTTCACCCGTTTCTCCTATTTCGCTACATTCATCACTTGTCCTGTAAAACATGAATTGTATAGAATTAAACTATATTCCAACATATTAATCAACAATTGCTCATATTTTGACAGTAAAATAAGTATGTAAAAACGCAATTATCAAACTTCCCCAAATTTGAACTATTGTTTGTCCTCAAACAAGAACAATATAACTCAACTCTACAAACAATATGGTTTAACAATATGTCGTGTCTCAGGATTGAAATTTGGTAGTCAGACAAATGAACAATTACAATATTGCAAAAATTAAATTAGTCTCCATATGTTACATGCATAACATGACGTGTGTGTGTGAAAACTCATGTCAACATCTTAAAATTGTGATTGGTTCAACACTTGTCCCAAAGTAGTCCAATAAATCATTTCCTCGCTTGAAAGATACACACACCCCCAAACTTATGATTTTTTCTCAATTTTCCCTGGGTCAACTTTTCAATTCTATTCCTTACCCTCGTATAGTTTGGATAGACTTTACTTTTACAAGTTCACACTTCAACAAATCGAGATTCTCCTATATTTTTTATTGCTTCTACCCTTGAGACTAGACTGAATTACTTACTTCTCATCAGAGGTGTAGTTTTGTCAACTAGATGCCTGGACCTTAATCAATGCATTTGAATGGACATAATTTTTTTTCTTTTCATTTTATGTTTTCTTCATTTTTTTTAGTATCTTTTCATTTACTTTCTATATAACTCATGTAGGGAGCTTTAGGCCAATGACTTTCAAGTCAGATGACCGTAGGGCACCAGGTTTTAAATCACCCTCATAGGCTTAATCACCCGAGTTGTATAGGCTCAAAAATATGCTTTTTATGTACTCAAAAATTAGTGCAATGTCTCTTTTCTTTCAGACATCCAGTTTTTAAAACTAACCTCTAGCTTAAAGTTTTCACCTCATTTTTATCTCAATGGGTTTCAGACAATCCACGCAAGATTTTCATGCATGGAACCCCTACTCATCTCAGTGTTTCCCTGTAACAATTCAATCATCTCCAAACTAGCCTATATTTGGATTTATGGAATACGACACCAGAGGTTATTAGGTTGTATCACTAAATTCCACTATCCTCTAGATACTGAACCACATCACTAACTCAATATGCCAAACATGAGTAACGTCCATAGGGAATGTCAAGTTTTACATAAACAGATTTAGATTAATTTAATACTACACTATTTTCATCATTCACAGCGGATACATGTTCCAATAATCACATCATAGCTGACATAGTTATTAAACCCACATAAGCATACAAAACTATGATTATAATCTAATGCTAAAAGGTAAAAGCTAGAAATAAACGATTTTTTCCACAAACATGCAAATATTGCAGTAAAATAACGAATGTTCCACCCCCAAACTTAATTGAAACTCCATGATACTTTTGCGAATCACATGCAATTCACAACGAAATCAATAGATCC